TTTTATATATACACACACACCTTGGGATTACGGTCTATTGAGGGTTGACGCTGAAATTGTAGGTTTACGATTTATGGCCGTGGTCGTGTGGACAGTATGCGCGGTGGGCTGTCCTTCAGTCAGGAAGAGGGGCAGGCCCACTTATCGCGCGCTTGCGTCAGCAGGTATCCCCCGCCAAAACTGTTCTCAACTCGGCTTGATTGTTGACCGGCCCAACACAAACTAAAACCCAAAGTTGCCCCAATGGTGGGAAGTTAAGGGCCATTGCGTGAGGCGTAGCCGAATAATCGATATCCCACCCTCCCTCACCCGTGTAGAATCGCCCTTCTGGTAACCCTTCAAAGTGCCGAGAGTTATTTTTCTTCGGTGCTTGCTTGGTCCTCTGATCCTTTAAGGAAGACCTTGCAAAAAAATCCGCGAAAAGCCCGCCGAAACGCCCCAAGTCCCCTGATCCTTCAAGTGAGCGCCAAAGGCTCGAAAGGGTTTGGGCTTGTGGGTTTTGGTTTTAAGGTTTAGGGTTTAGGGTTTAGGGTTTAGGGTTTGGGGTTTAGGGTTTAGGGTTTAGGCTTTAGGGTTGAGGGTTTAGGGTTTAGGGTTTTGGGTTTAGGTTAAGCTTCTTTGTGTGTCAGACTATGTCAGATTTCAGGCGCATGATCCTGCGGCCTCGAACCTGCAAAACCCACGAGCTTGACCCCACCAAGTGCCAAACTCGAGACTCCCTTGCAGCCCCCTAGACCCTGAACTCCAAAACCCTAAACCCTCAACTCCAAAACCCTAAACCCTAGACCCTCAACTCCAAAACCCTAAACCCTAGACCCTCAACTCCAAAACCCTAAACCCTAGACCCTCAACTCCAAAATCTTAAACCCGTAAATCCCCATTAGCTCCTCGGCACGTCTCTGTGCAGCCTGAGGGTGGCCGCTCTTAGGGTCGAGGTTAGGGTTTAGGGTTTAGGGTTTAGGGTTTAGGGTTTAGGGTTTAGGGTTTAGGGTTTAGGGTTCAGGGTTTAGGGTTTAGGGTTCAGGGTCTATCCAGGGGTTTAGGGTTCAGGGTTTAGGGTTTAGGGTTCAGGGTCTATCTAGGGTTTGGTAATTTAGGTTTGGGGGAGTGAAAAGTGCGACCTTATAGGGTAAGACTATTCCGCGGAAAGCTCAGCCTTACATGTTCATGACTCTTCGAGCTGCGACTCAAGCAGCATTTCGGGCCTCAGGGAATCATGCCCTCAGAAACTCTGAGTTATAGGCAGCGTACGGTTCTCAGGCTTTAAGGTTTGGTGTTCTGGGCTTAAGGTTTCGGCTTTGGGGTTTAGGGTCCCCCGAATTTGAGGCAGAGCCTCTAGGGTTCAGGGTCTTCGGGGCTGCAAGGCTTAAGGAACCCTAAACCCTAAACCCCAAACCCTAAACCCCAAACCCTAAACCCTAAACCCCAAACCCTAAACCCTAAACCCCAACCCTTAAACCCTAAACCGTCTTTAAGGCGCAATGATAGGGAGGGAGGGTTTTGGGAAAGGGCGGGCGCCTCGCCGGAGGAGAGCCCGAGGGAGGGCTCGAAAGTTCCATGCCCGGCTTGCCGCGAAGAGCCCAAGAGAGGTGTCTCTGGGGCCTGTTGCAGAAGCTAGCCGGGCTCGGGGTCTATCTTCTCATCTGAGTTTGATGTGTAATTTAGGGTTTTGGGTTTCAGGATTGAGGGTTTAGAATATCGTCTCAGTTGGATATGCAATGTTGGGGCTAGCGGCTTGGAGTTTGGCATCTCTTTGCAGGGAAAGGAAAATGCAAAGTGTAGCATCCCCCACTGTCAAAAGAACCATCTTGGCTCACTTCAAGGGCGTGCTTTGGCAGCTTGGGTTGCGGCAGCCATGCTTCTGCTAATGTCAGAGGGTTCTAGGCTCGTAACGCGGTTGCTTAAGCTGTCTATGCAGGTGCCATCAGTTTGGGCCTGTGGAGGTGTCCCAGGGTCTCAGGGCAAGAGGCTTCTCGAAAATGGATAGGGCCAAAAATAGTCCTCGCATGTCTAAGATAGTTGCAGCTTGGGCATGAAACAGAAGACTTCCGAATCAATCCAAAGTCTAGCAAACCCCACAGCACCAGCAATTGAAACGAGTCCCAGCATCTGCTCATGAACGTTGGTGTCCGAAAGTGTCCAGTGCCCCCCTTCACTCAGCACAGACATGCTGCACTCGCAACTTAGAGCATTGGTTTAGGGTTTAGGGTTTAGGGAAAGCCTCAAGCCTGCACCAAAATCCCAGCTCCAGCCTCCATGCTTGGGGTGTCTCTGTGCGGAGAGGGTTCTCAGGAGTTAGTTCGGGGGCTGAGGCGTGAGGGTTGCAGATAAACCCTAAACCCCTCAACCCTAACCCCTCAACCCTAAACCCTACACCCTAAACCCCTAAACCCTACTGATCGGACATGTTTTCCTAGACCTGGGACTTCTCGGGAATCGGACTCCAGAGGACCCTCCCCGCGCGAGAAGGCTAGAACGTAAATATGTAGGACCTGATGTGAGAAGCTTGGGCCAAAAGGGTACAAAGCATGCCAAGGGCTGAGGGTTTAGGGCTTAGGGTTGAGCTAGGGTTTAGGTTTTAGGGTTTAGGGATTAGGGTTTAGGGTTTAGGGTTTAGGGTTGAGGGTTGAGGGTTGAGGGTTGAGGGTGTAGGCCTCAAATTGATGAATCACTCTTGCTCCGGCCACATTCATCCATGCCCAGAACCCCAAGCCGACCCCTGACTCGCACGTCTCTACATCTGGAAGGTAGCCAAATGCAAGTACATTACGTGCAAGGTATGCAGCACGTCTTGATCCTGCACACAGCACCCTAAACCCCAAACCCTAAACCCAGAAAGTATGTCAAAAGTCGACGATATGGGACCGCACGGCAGCGGAGACGAGCCAACCGCTCTCCTCGCGAGGATGCTGTGGCAGCCCTACTTGGAGGCTCGGAGGTTCATGGGCAGCGATTAGTAGGGTTTAGGGTTTAGGGTCTAAAGTTTAGGGTTGCAAGTCAGGTAACTGTAGTTATAAACCATGCTAGGGGGACTTATAACTCGACATATATCTACCCAGGAACCCCCAGGTAGCCGGCAAAGCAACCCATGATAAACACCCGAGTGGCCTTTGGCCCGAACCCGAAAACAAGACGGAAATCCGTCCCCGAGCTGACTCGGCATTCTCACACCCCCAAGAGCCTAGAGGCGCAATCCCAAACCCCAAACCCGAAATGCCTGAACCCTCAAAATTTCAAAGGCTTAACCCTAAACCCGAAACCCTAATCCCTAATCCCTAAACCCTAAACCCTAAACCCAACCCCTGAATCTCAAAACGGTACTGCATCCCCCGGAGGCGAAGTGGGCCCAAGAACACCCCGTCCATCAGCACGCGCTTCGCACGCGCCGCGGAGATGCCGTAGCCGCGCCGCTCCATGACTTTGGAGACCTGGTTTGCGGCTTTGTGTGCTTAGGGGTGTAGGGTTCAGGGTTTAGGGTTTTAGGGTTTAAGGTTTACGGTTTAGGGTTTAGGGGTTTAGGGGTTTAGGGTTTAGGGCTTCGGGTTTAGGCTGCTTACCCCACAAGTCAGCGGTCCAGTGCAGCCCCCGAATACCACAGCCATCCCCCTCCTAGAAACTAGTAGACTAAAAATCCAGTGTGCAAGCGATGGCATGCATGTCAACCTATGACAAGCCCTGGCGACAAGAAGCAGCATGCTTTCACAGTGAATCCACCCATTACCGTCCTAGAGGCCTAAAACCTAACCCGTCCAAAGCCCGAAACCCTGAACTTTAAACCCTAAACCCTAAACCCTGAACCTAAAACCCTAAACCCTGAACCTTAAACCCTAAACCCTGAACCTAAAACCTTAAACCCTAAACCTTAACCCTAAACCCTACCCTGCATCAACCCTCAAGTGTCAAAGACCAAGCCTTGAATCCTGCACGACCTCTTCTGTCTGGTGCTTTGTAGGGAATGGGGGAATGGATCCCTATGATAGTCCCTTAAGGTCCCTCCTTATAGTACCTAAACCCTAAATCCTAAACCCTAAACCCTGGGATTGACTCCTATAACCCAAACCCCCTTTCCCTACTAAGCACCAGACAGTCTTCGCTTCGAGAGAACCGCCTTTTCAAACTGAAGAGGCGCAGGATTCCAATTTGAAGGCTCTCCGAAAGGATTTCGGGTTCGGGTTTAGTGTTTAGGGTTTAGGGTTTAAGGTTCAGGGTTTAGGGTTTAAGGTTTAGGGTTTAAGGTTCAGGGTTTAGGGATTAGTGCTTAGGGTTTAGGGTTCAGGGCTTTGGGGTTCAGATGCCAATATCCGAAAACCTACAAACCCAAGATCCAAAACCCAAAACCCGAAACCCTAAACCTTAACCGTAAAACCCGAAGCCAAGAGACTCTCCAAAAGAGAATCGAAGCCATTCTGGTCGGAACGGTCCTGCAGCATGGTTCGTAAGTAGTATTATTAGGGGTACCCCTTAAAGGGCACCCCTTGTGAACCCTACTTTTGGCTCTCTTGAAAGGGACCTCTAAACCCTAAACCCTA